GTTGAGCAGTGTAGTGGAGTTGAGGATGAAGTGCAGTATGATTCGATTTGTATTTGCTTGTTTGAGAAAGACTGACGCGAATCCCATGTAATCAAATATCTCTGTGTGTGTGTTGATTTCAGAGGGTGACAACGAGGAACATGACGCCGGTAAGTCTCTGGTGGTTTGCAGGTCAACTGCATTCTTCTCAGTCTTCACGAGATGTTCATTGAAACTCGCACTATTTTCATCACCACACTGAATCAGACACTCACTCAATCACTCAATCACTCCCTCCCTCAATGCCTCATTCAATCAGGAGGTGAGAAAATGTCTCTTGGATTAACTCACTCACTCACTCACTCACTCTCTCACTCACTCACTGATTCGCTCCCACACTCAGGATTTCCATGAAATATAAATCGACAAATTCTTCAGTCTGACACACACTCAAAATCATTTTGACTCTCTCAGTGACAATATATGACGAAGACAATTTCGTCAATAATCCACTCTCCTGTGTATCCAGCGAAGATCTGTGAAGTGAAGTGTATTGTTGTGTTGTGTTGTGTAGTGTAGTGTATTTTAGAGTGGAGTAGTGCATTTCAATGCAGTTTCGCTTTGTGTTGTATAGCGTGGCGTGTTATATTATGGCGATGTAGAGTGTATGTTAGTGTATTTTTGTGTAGATTGTCATGGTGGTGATGTGTTGATCAGTGTAGTGGAGTTGAGGATGAAGTGCAGTATGATTCGATTTGTATTTGCTTGTTTGAGAAAGACTGACGCGAATCGCATGTAATCAAATATCTGTGTGTGTTGATTTCAGAGGGTGACAACGAGGAACATGACGCCGGTAAGTCTCTGGTGGTTTGCAGGTCAACTGCATTCTTCTCAGTCTTCACGAGATGTTCATTGAAACTCGCACTATTTTCATCACCACACTGAATCAGACACTCACTCAATCACTTAATCACTCCCTCCCTCAATGCCTCATTCAATCTGGAGATGAGAAAATGTCTCTTGGATTAACTCACTCACTCACTCTCTCACTCACTCACGCACTCACGCACTCACGGACTCACCGAATCTCTCTCTCACTCACGTTTTCCATGAAATATAAATCGACAAATTCTTCAGTCTGATATACACTCAAAATCATTATGACTCTCTCAGTGACAATATATGACGAAGATAATTTCGTCAATAATCCACTCTCCTGTGTATCCAGCGAAGATCTGTGAAGTGAAGTGTATTGTTGTGTTGTGTAGTGTAGTGTATTTTAGAGTGGAGTAGTGTATTTCAATGCAGTTTCGCTTTGTGTTGTATAGCGTAGCGTGGTATATTGTGGCGATGCAGAGTGTATGTTAGTGTATTTTTGTGTAGATTGTCATGGTGGTGATGTGTTGATCAGTGTAGTGGAGTTGAGGATGAAGTGCAGTATGATTCGATTTGTATTTGCTTGTTTGAGAAAGACTGACGCGAATCGCATGTAATCAAATATCTGTGTGTGTTGATTTCAGAGGGTGACAACGAGGAACATGACGCCGGTAAGTCTCTGGTGGTTTGCAGGTCAACTGCATTCTTCTCAGTCTTCACGAGATGTTCATTGAAACTCGCACTATTTTCATCACCACACTGAATCAGACACTCACTCAATCACTTAATCACTCCATCCCTCAATGCCTCATTCAATCTGGAGATGAGAAAATGTCTCTTGGATTAACTCACTCACACACTCACTCACTCTCTGACTCAATCACTGATTCGCTCCCACACTCAGGATTTCCATGAAATATAAATCGACAAATTCTTCAGTCTGACACACACTCAAAATCATTTTGACTCTCTCAGTGACAATATATGACGAAGACAATTTCGTCAATAATCCACTCTCCTGTGTATCCAGCGAAGATCTGTGAAGTGAAGTGTATTGTTGTGTTGTGTAGTGTAGTGTATTTTAGAGTGGAGTAGTGTATTTCAATGCAGTTTCGCTTTGTGTTGTATAGCGTGGCGTGGTATATTATGGCGATGTAGAGTGTATGTTAGTGTATTTTGGTGTAGATTGTCATGGTGGTGATGTGTTGATCAGTGTAGTGGAGTTGAGGATGAAGTGCAGTATGATTCGATTTGTATTTGCTTGTTTGAGAAAGACTGACGCGAATCGCATGTAATCAAATATCTGTGTGTGTTGATTTCAGAGGGTGACAACGAGGAACATGACGCCGGTAAGTCTCTGGTGGTTTGCAGGTCAACTGCATTCTTCTCAGTCTTCACGAGATGTTCATTGAAACTCGCACTATTTTCATCACTACACTGAATCAGACACTCACTCAATCACTTAATCACTCCCTCCCTCAATGCCTCATTCAATCTGGAGATGAGAAAATGTCTCTTGGATTAACTCACTCACACACTCACTCACTCTCTGACTCACTCACTGATTCGCTCCCACACTCAGGATTTCCATGAAATATAAATCGACAAATTCTTCAGTCTGACACACACTCAAAATCATTTTGACTCTCTCAGTGACAATATATGACGAAGACAATTTCGTCAATAATCCACTCTCCTGTGTATGCAGCGAAGATCTGTGAAGTGAAGTGTATTGTTGTGTTGTGTAGTGTAGTGTATTTTAGAGTGGAGTAGTGTATTTCAATGCAGTTTCGCTTTGTGTTGTATAGCGTGGCGTGGTATATTATGGCGATGTAGAGTGTATGTTAGTGTATTTTGGTGTAGATTGTCATGGTGGTGATGTGTTGATCAGTGTAGTGGAGTTGAGGATGAAGTGCAGTATGATTCGATTTGTATTTGCTTGTTTGAGAAAGACTGACGCGAATCCCATGTAATCAAATATCTGTGTGTGTTGATTTCAGAGGGTGACAACGAGGAACATGACGCCGGTAAGTCTCTGGTGGTTTGCAGGTCAACTGCATTCTTCTCAGTCTTCACGAGATGTTCATTGAAACTCGCACTATTTTCATCACCACACTGAATCAGACACTCACTCAATCACTTAATCACTCCCTCCCTCAATGCCTCATTCAATCTGGAGATGAGAAAATGTCTCTTGGATTAACTCACTCACTCACTCTCTCACTCACTCACGCACTCACGCACTCACGGACTCACCGAATCTCTCTCTCACTCACGTTTTCCATGAAATATAAATCGACAAATTCTTCAGTCTGACACACACTCAAAATCATTTTGACTCTCTCAGTGACAATATATGACGAAGACAATTTCGTCAATAATCCACTCTCCTGTGTATCCAGCGAAGATCTGTGAAGTGAAGTGTATTGTTGTGTTGTGTAGTGTAGTGTATTTTAGAGTGGAGTAGTGTATTTCAATGCAGTTTCGCTTTGTGTTGTATAGCGTGGCGTGGTATATTATGGCGATGTAGAGTGTATGTTAGTGTATTTTGGTGTAGATTGTCATGGTGGTGATGTGTTGATCAGTGTAGTGGAGTTGAGGATGAAGTGCAGTATGATTCGATTTGTATTTGCTTGTTTGAGAAAGACTGACGCGAATCGCATGTAATCAAATATCTGTGTGTGTTGATTTCAGAGGGTGACAACGAGGAACATGACGCCGGTAAGTCTCTGGTGGTTTGCAGGTCAACTGCATTCTTCTCAGTCTTCACGAGATGTTCATTGAAACTCGCACTATTTTCATCACTACACTGAATCAGACACTCACACAATCACTTAATCACTCCCTCCCTCAATGCCTCATTCAATCTGGAGATGAGAAAATGTCTCTTGGATTAACTCACTCACTCACTCTCTCACTCACTCACGCACTCACGCACTCACGGACTCACCGAATCCCTCTCTCACTCACGTTTTCCATGAAATATAAATCGACAAATTCTTCAGTCTGATATACACTCAATATCATTATGACTCTCTCAGTGACAATATATGACGAAGATAATTTCGTCAATAGTCTACTCTCCTGTGTATCCAGCGACGATCTGTGAAGTGAAGTGTATTGTTGTGTTGTGTAGTGTAGTGTAGTGTATTTTGGAGTGGAGTAGTGTATTTCAATGCAGATTCTCTTTGTGTTGTATAGCGTAGCGTGGTATATTGTGGCGATGCAGAGTGTATGTTAGTGTATTTTGGTGTAGATTGTCATGGTGGTGATGTGTTGATCAGTGTAGTGGAGTTGAGGATGAAGTGCAGTATGATTCGATTTGTATTTGCTTGTTTGAGAAAGACTGACGCGAATCGCATGTAATCAAATATCTGTGTGTGTTGATTTCAGAGGGTGACAACGAGGAACATGACGCCGGTAAGTCTCTGGTGGTTTGCAGGTCAACTGCATTCTTCTCAGTCTTCACGAGATGTTCATTGAAACTCGCACTATTTTCATCACTACACTGAATCAGACACTCACACAATCACTTAATCACTCCCTCCCTCAATGCCTCATTCAATCTGGAGATGAGAAAATGTCTCTTGGATTAACTCACTCACTCACTCTCTCACTCACTCACGCACTCACGCACTCACGGACTCACCGAATCCCTCTCTCACTCACGTTTTCCATGAAATATAAATCGACAAATTCTTCAGTCTGATATACACTCAAAATCATTATGACTCTCTCAGTGACGATATTTGACGAAGATAATTTCGTCAATAATTTCATCTCCACTTCATGCAGCGAATATTGGTTAGGTGAAGTGTTTTGTATTTTAGGGTGTATTGTAGTGTTGCAATGAACGGTAATATATTATTGTGCAGTGCAGTGCAGTATAGTGTAGTGTAGTGTATTGTTGTGTATTGTGGTATATTTCAGTGCAGTTCGCTTTGTTTTGTATAGCGTAGCGTGGTATATTGTGGCGATGTGTGGTGTATGTTAGAGTATTGTGTTGCAGCTTGTAGTTTTGATGCTTTGAGGAGTGTTGTTGAGTTGAGGATGAAGTGCGTTATTATTCGAATTTTATTTGCTTGTTTGAGAAAGACTGACGCGAATCCCGTGTAATCAAATATCTGTGTGTGTGTTGATTTCAGAGGGTGACAACGAGGAACATGACGCAGGTAAGTCTCTGGTCGTTTGCAGGTCAACTGCATACTTCTCAGTCTTCACGAGATGTCCATTGAAACTCGAACTATTATCATCATCACACTGAATCAGCCACTCACTCACTCTCTGAATCAATCATACACTCACACATTCCATCACTGCCTCAATTAGTCTCTCCACAAGACTATGTCTCATTCACTAACTCACTCACTCAATCACTCAATCACTCACTCTCTCAGTCATTCACTCGCTCACTCACTCACGTTTTCCATGAAATATCAATCGACAAATTCTTCAGTCTGTTATACACTCAAAATCATTATGACTCTCTCAGTGACGATATATGACGAAGATAATTTCGTCAATAATTTCATCTCCACTTCATGCAGCGAATATTGGTTAGGTGAAGTGTGTTGTATTTTAGGGTGTATTGTAGTGTTGCAATGAACGGTAATATATTATTGTGCAGTGCAGTGCAGTATAGTGTAGTGTATTGTTGTGTATTGTGGTATATTTCAGTGCAGTTCACTTTGTTTTTATATAGCTTAGCGTGGTATATTATGGCGATGTGTGGTGTATGTTAGTGTATTTTGATGTAGATTGTCGTGGTGATGATATGTTGAGCAGTGTATTTCAGTTGAGGATGAATTTCAGTATGATTCAATTCGTAGTCGCTGGTTACAGAAGAACTGACTCGAATCCCATGTAATCAAATATCTGTGTGTGTGTTGATTTCAGAGGGTGACAACGAGGAACATGACGCAGGTAAGTCTCTGGTCGTTTGCAGGTCAACTGCATTCTTCTCAGTCTTCACGAGATGTCCATTGAAACTCGAACTATTATCATCATCACACTGAATCAGCCACTCACTCACTCTCTGAATCAATCATACACTCACACATTCCATCACTGCCTCAATTAGTCTCTCCACAAGACTATGTCTCATTCACTAACTCACTCACTCAATCACTCAATCACTCACTCTCTCAGTCATTCACTCGCTCACTCACTCACGTTTTCCATGAAATATCAATCGACAAATTCTTCAGTCTGTTATACACTCAAAATCATTATGACTCTCTCAGTGACGATATATGACGAAGATAATTTCGTCAATAATTTCATCTCCACTTCATGCAGCGAATATTGGTTAGGTGAAGTGTTTTGTATTTTAGGGTGTATTGTAGTGTTGCAATGAACGGTAATATATTATTGTGCAGTGCAGTGCAGTATAGTGTAGTGTATTGTTGTGTATTGTGGTATATTTCAGTGCAGTTCGCTTTGTTTTGTATAGCGTAGCGTGGTATATTGTGGCGATGTGTGGTGTATGTTAGAGTATTGTGTTGCAGCTTGTAGTTTTGATGCTTTGAGGAGTGTTGTTGAGTTGAGGATGAAGTGCGTTATTATTCGAATTTTATTTGCTTGTTTGAGAAAGACTGACGCGAATCCCGTGTAATCAAATATCTGTGTGTGTGTTGATTTCAGAGGGTGACAACGAGGAACATGACGCAGGTAAGTCTCTGGTCGTTTGCAGGTCAACTGCATTCTTCTCAGTCTTCACGAGATGTCCATTGAAACTCGAACTATTATCATCATCACACTGAATCAGCCACTCACTCACTCTCTGAATCAATCATACACTCACACATTCCATCACTGCCTCAATTAGTCTCTCCACAAGACTATGTCTCATTCACTAACTCACTCACTCAATCACTCAATCACTCACTCTCTCAGTCATTCACTCGCTCACTCACTCACGTTTTCCATGAAATATCAATCGACAAATTCTTCAGTCTGTTATACACTCAAAATCATTATGACTCTCTCAGTGACGATATATGACGAAGATAATTTCGTCAATAGTTTCATCTCCTCTTTATTCGGCGAATATTGGTTAGGTGAAGTGTGTTGTATTTTAGGGTGTATTGTAGTGTTGCAATGAACGGTAATATATTATTGTGCAGTGCAGTGCAGTATAGTGTAGTGTAGTGTATTGTTGTGTATTGTGGTATATTTCAGTGCAGTTCGCTTTGTTTTGTATAGCGTAGCGTGGTATATTGTGGCGATGTGTGGTGTATGTTAGTATATTTTGATGTAGATTGTCGTGGTGATGATATGTTGAGCAGTGTATTTCAGTTGAGGATGAATTTCAGTATGATTCAATTCGTAGTCGCTGGTTACAGAAGAACTGACTCGAATCCCATGTAATCAAATATCTGTGTGTGTGTTGATTTCAGATGAAGGCAACGAGAACTTTTGCTTATATATGTGTGTTTTATCTAGATTTCGTTGATTACCCTGGATTTTTTGTGCGCTTCTGTATTTTTCGAGTTGTCTCTCTTTGCCCTCATTTTTAGTTCTCGTTTTTGACATTCACTTTTCGTTTCGTGTTTTTTGATGTTTATATGGATCATTTTCTATATTCATGGACTTATTCATATATCCTCTTTTCTGATCTTCTTTGACTGATTCGTTCTTCTCATTGGGAATGAGAGATTCTATTTATCTTATAAAATTCAGTTTTCAGTCATTATTTGTATGTATTCTGAATTTGGATTTATTTTGGTGTGATTATTCATTTAATGGTTCTTATCATGGAGATGCATGAGTTGTTTAATACTGAGTTTAATTGTCTGTTGGTTTTGTCGGGGTCTACTTACCAGTAGAGAGTTTATTGGAAATGGAAATTTTGAAGCTGAATTGGAGAAATGCACACACACCAATTCTGAAAATTCGATAAGACTTACTTCGTCACCTCCATTTATCGCTTTTGTTCATGTGACTCACTCTCTCTCTCTGTGCACAATGTTATCTCCAGCTGACTTACTCGCTGGATCAATGGATGGCTATTAATGAAAACTGTCTCATCGGTTGAATGCTGACGACTTCTTATACACTGTCTGCTTTCGACACACTTCATGGTGAGAACTGGTGACCAGCCATCACTGGAAACAACACTCACCACTTGTGTCTCACACTTGCATCCAAACCTGCAATCATCCAGCCACCAATTCCACCTTATTGTATGGCACACGCACAGGCACACACACACTTACCAACCCATCAACACCTCTCTTATTTTGTTTGCATTTCTCTTCGCTTGAGCTCTCTTGTTGGCATGAAGTTGCTGGCTAACATTTATTAGGTCAGCAGATTCGATGTACCTCTCGTGTTTTTGCATTTCTTTTCCTTCTGTCATGTTTTCTGGCCTGTGGATATTTTTATTGCTTCTCTCCTTGTATGGCGGTGTCGACTAATTTTCGTCGTCGATTTTCATTGCGACTAGCATTTGTCGATTGATATATTTTTTCTACACAAAGTACATGATTCTCAGTGTAACTCATTGCGTGTTATCTCCTACTAATCGAGTATCTCTTACTACATCCCAGTCTGTTTTACAGCACTTCACATAATCTTGTTACATCTGAAGCACAGACTAATTCCTTGAGATATATTTTACTTCAAGCTGGGAAGTCATATGATGAAAATATGCCTGAGTGCCTTTGGCGACTGCAGGACATAAGTGATTAGTTAAGACAATAAGAATTAGAGAAAGCAAAGTGCATTGCGTTGCATGGAATTTCAGCCAGACCAGTGATTCATGCAGGCCACCACGTTTGGTGTTCATCATTCACGTTGATCCGTGTGCATTTTTCTTCTTACACTCACTAGTGTTCTCAATCAGTGCTACTTCTGAATAGTTGTGATCGCCTGTGATTGTTTTTTTTCTAAAAACAGTAATCACTTGAATCTCATCTGAGTCATTGTCTTCCATTTTATTTTCAGATGGCGCGGCCAAGTTTATTGCTGACTGTAAGAGTTTACTTTGTGTTTGTGTTACATTGATCTTCCCTTCTATGCAGTTGTCACTTTACTGACAGACTAACACTAGTTGTTTGAGATGGTTTTGTGGAATACCCTCTTTTATGCTTTAATAAAGGATATTTCATCCTGAATGATAGAGTGGGTGGTTAGCTTCACTTCTGCTCATCAGATTTTCCATCTGCTGGTAGAATTTCCAGCATGATTTTCTTTCTATCTGTTGTCCAGTTTTCGTTCGAAGCGACCTGTCACAACGTTTTAAAGGGGTGTGCCTCACCTTCCACTACCAGCAGTAATAGGCCTCAGCTTTCAGTTGCCACCGGTGGTAGACCTTCTGAATTTATGTGGATAATCATTGTAAAGACATTAATAATGTATTCAACTGGTTGTCTGTTGCAAATGTAAGGCCTTAAATTCCGTCAAACTGTAGCAAACCTTGTTACCATAGATGCATACTAGAAATCATTCATTCTTGGAGAGATTTTCATCGAAACTCAAAACACCAGCATTGTATTGTTGAAGGATCAATGACGCCATGATCATTTTCAGTGGAGTAGGCATCTCCTGACAAAGTTGAGTGAGCGAGAGCAGTTTTTACTTCGAAGCAGTCACATTCATTGTGAGTTGAGTAGAACTTTTGATCAGGGAGATTTTCGTTGTTAGTTTGTGGACTTCAGGATTTGGTATATCACTTCTTCAGCAAGAAGCAAATATTCCGCATTATAATTTTTGATTGAATGTTTGACCTGATCAGTTATGAAGAGTTAATTAAATCGCTTGAGGGAAATTTTTCTTTCTCTATTTCAGATGATCCGAATTTAACACTAGACGCATACGCCGAATCATACAGTCAAATTTTGAAGGATAAATGTATGTGTTTATTTTACCGAAAATCATTTTATGGTTGTCTCTTGACTTTAGACTGTTCTGTGACAATTGGTGTTCACTTCCCACCTTGCACTCATATTAGTTGCCTTGATTCGTGGACGGCTAATCAACAAATTCAATCACTGACAATACTGAGTAGCTTTGAAAACTCTCTTTTGCATCTGCACGTCTCCATGGAAATTCATGGAGATGTTTTTCTCATGTCAGAGGATGTATGTAATATTGCCTGATTGGAATAATTTGCAATTCATTATTGTAAAGTAGAGCAGGAAACTGGTGCTTCGAGATACGTGACAGTGCTTCATCTAGTTCAGGAAGCTTGATAATGTTGGTGGCACAGCGACTAGGACGTTCGCCGACCATGGTCCGGGGTCCGATCCCCGGACGGCACACTCCTTTACCTCGTTAAGCCAGAAATAAAGTTGGTAAAGAGGAAAGGTTGGGCATGAGGCTAGCAACCCCATCCTGTAAAAATGAACACTGCTACAGAATCTTCAAGCCTCTAGCTTGAAGCCCTATGTTCCACTGGGAACATGAAGGAATAAAAAAAATGGGGACATCACAGATTGAGATGAGTGGAATAGGAGTTTCAAAGTGGTGTTGATGGGGCTGAATGACCTAAACACTTGGTGCTACTGACCAACAGACTGTGCGAGAAATATTTACATTTGTGTGGAGATGCACCAATAATGCACGGAGGACAGTCACTCTTCATTGACGATTAGATACAGAGACACAGAAAGACTGATTTCATGTAACCTACAGGTCTTCATTTAGTCCGTCAGAACTTTCAGTCAAGCATTAAATAATCCACATACCTTACACTGATTTCCACCCGCTTGTTTGTTTTAGTTTTCATAATCGAACTTGAGACATACGTAGATCCTCAGAATGCGGAGGAAGCAATAAAACGTGGTGAGTAATTTTATCAAGATCTCTGCATGACTGCATATAAGTATCAGCCATAGATATATGGTCAGGTATATTTCCATTCAATAGATGATGTTATATTTCGTGTATTTCGTAGACATGAATTATTCTCATGAATCAAAGATGCACAGTTGTGAACCCTTTTAGGATAACCAAGTATCTCATTTGTTCGTCATCATGTGTCGAAGATCGAAGTTACCTTCTGGTCTATAATTGATAACGTCCATCGCACCGGAACAACACTGAATGATTCCAATGGTTGGAAGAACGTCTGTCTAGGGTGTGGTACGAAGCATTTTGCATCATCAGCGACCCACCCACTTTCCTTTCCTTACTGCTGCGTGAACTGTCATTGCTGTTTGTTGATGTGAAGCACATCACTGAAACACATGAACTCCCCTGTGGATGTAGTGGAAGTTTACTGCGTAGGAATACTGGTGGGAGCGATTGCAGGTGGTAAAATAGTATGAGACTCAGTGTTGTGTGCTGCTCGCTTCGCTGCTCTCAGCATCTCTATTCACATTATTAATTTTATTGTTGTTATTGGCCTGAGTTCCCAGTGGAACATAGGAGGTCAACTGCATGCACATCTCCATACCATTCTGTTCTCTGCAGTCCCTTGTAGGTGGCTCCTTAACTACGCATACGTCTCTATCTCCTGCTCACACAATCTCCATCATGTCACCATCCTACCACTGTTCACCTCTTCACTTCCTACTCAGCTTCCACTGACACACACTGGTGTGTGATAATTGTCAACGGTCTCTCCATGTCATCTACAATTCGCCTTCATTTTCATTGTAATATTTGTTGGACAATAGGTTCATGATTAGTTTGTCGCCAGGTTTTCTCATTTCTAACAGTTTCCGGCCATCTTGTGTTCAGTACTGGGAAGTCAAAATCAGGTGTTGATGAAAGTCTGCAGCAGCGTGTTGTGAGTGCTTTTTGTCAACATGATAAGCATCTGAATCTTGTAGAATCATTGATTTGACGTCAGTGTTGAAGATATGGATCTCGTTCCTTGTACTGGCTGGAATAAACTCATCTACTGACATGAAAGCAGTGAAATTCTGCCTTCTTCCAATCTCAGCTAACCGTGATATCCTCACTCTTAACGCCACGTGTAGTTGAGACGATGATGCCTGGATAATCTGAGGAAGTGACTTCCTCACCATTTCTGACGTTAATGTTGGTTGGTGCTTGTTATTCTTGTTGTCGGTTGGTTGGTTGGTTAGTTGTTCTAGTAACCTACATTTTCCCTATGTTCACTTGAGGAAGTGTCTTCCCTGACTGCTTTTCCTGCCAACGTGTTCGTATCCAGTCGACCACAACCAGGAGTATCATCGGTGATAGTAGGCAGGCTTATCTTTCACTTGTCTTCACTTCAAACTCTTTGCTGAGTTCTCCTCTGTGGACCATTTTGCATGTGCAGTATTCACATAGCTGTTCAGGGCACTGCATTCCTAAGTTTCCATGATGTCAGTGTTGTCGAAGGCCTTTTCAAATTTGAGGAATTTGATGAAGATATTAATTTAAAATCCTGTGCTCTCTTCGATGATGAGGCACAGCGTCAAGATTTGATCTGCACATAAGTTGCTTTTCTTCAATCCAGCTTGTTCCTGAGACAGTTTTGCATTCAAAGAATCACTTAGTCTCTCTAGGATGACGCGGCCTAAAATTTAGCTTGAATATGGCATGAGCGAGATTGCCATCTAGTCCTTGTAGAGGCTGAGGTCGCCCTTCTTTCATAGTTTGACAAGGTAGCCTATCCTTCCGACTGGCGTGTGAGATTCCTTCATTGTGAACCTTATGCACCAGTGGATTGCGTATATCAGATGAGGTACTTCTGAAGGAACTCCATCCGGTTCTGTCGCCCCCTTCCGATTTCCAGTAACTTCATAGTATTCGAAACGTTTGCTTTTGTTGGATGATTGGTGTTCGCTGTGAGTACTGTGCCTGCTATTGATGGTATTTCTGGACGATTTGCAGGTGGTGGTCTTTTTGGGAGTCAATGATGTTTCTTCCCTTCACTAACAAGCTTCGCTTCACCATGCATCATTTGTTTCATCCATGTTGATCTCTTCTAGGATACTGACGTGTTGAACTGATATAGTGTTGCGGAGTCTCGCTGCCCTGCGACCTATTCTGCTTCGGTTGCCAATATGTTGTGTCTGATCCGCATCTCTATTTTGTGTCCAGCAGGCTGCGTTATCACATTCCTGAGATTGAAATGAAGCTAATCTCATATTTGGTGTGTCCATCTGATGAAACCTGTATCACTCTGTGCATGTTATATCGCCACCTGTACTCGAAAACTGAGTGAAAGCACTGAAGTATGTGGAGAGTTCACCGTCCTCATGCTTTTCATTGACAGATCCCTAGACATACCATAGGTCACCTTCTCGTCTCGCTTCCCCCCTTTTTCGTATTGTGACTTTGCTATTTGAGGTCGTGTACACTATTCATTGAAGCTGTGTTTAGAATTCTCCCCTCTCCTCTTGGTCCACTTCGCTCGTAGGAGTGCATCTCTGGAATCAAGTTCGTTTAAATTGTGTGTTTGTGTGTTGCGTGCGTGTGAGTGTCGTGTGAGTGGATAAACTCAAATTTGAACTGAACTTCAGAATGAGCAAGCAATGTGAATTGTCACCGTCGGAAGAAAGTAAGAGAAAAGGGAAATCATGGCACCCAGATTTGCTGAGAGACAATACATAATGCATCATGATTACGAAAGTGCAGTCAGGGAAATCACACAGGTGAATATATACGCAGTTCCGTGTTTTGTTTTGAACACAAAAGTTGAAGTGAATCACTAGAAAATGAATAAACGAAGAATTAGGTCTATGAGTAGAACGATATTTGAATTTATGAATTGTAAGATGGATATGCGCTGGTTAACAAAACTCTTGGTGCATTCTTCTCAACCTCATATATTCTAGCCCCTACTTCTCCAGTAACTCAAACAGTAGTCAGCCTTTTCATGCTTAGCGTATTCCCTGAATAGTACTTTGATTTAATAATTATTCTACCATCGTCAATTACCCAATAGTCAAACACGTAAGAGGTTTGTCATCCAGAGGTGTTAAACGACTGATCATAGGTAGGAAATCTCATCTACTTGTGATTTTGAACTTGAATAAAGTAGTAATAAATTGACAAACATAAGTGAGTTGCTGACTGTTCAGGGTTGCTCACGGTGCAAAATGCAGGGCTAGTGAACAACTAGAAAGCGTTTTGTTGACTTGAACCAAGGAGAATTCAGAATAACAAAGATGTGTGGCAAATGGAAAATTAGAAGCATATATATACAAAATCATATCGCCAGTCAAAATTCTCTCAACAAATAACCCGCTTCAACCGATATTACTGTATGCACTCATTTTGTGTTTTTCCAATTCATTCAGAAATCCTCAGACTTGAACACTTGTATCAAAGTAAATGGGCAAAGGAATTTCTCGAGTGTAAGTTCTGTCGTACATGCTCTTGATTCTGTGTTGTTCATGAATGGAAATGTATGTTGAATAAATGCCTAAATCTTCACTGCAGTAAAACATGGTGGATAGTGAACTGGAATGCATTGCAGTGTCATTTCAGATTACCAAGGAATTCAGTTGCTCCACAAAGAAGTCATCAAAAGTATTATTTCAGAGAGGCATCTGTAGGTTTCAATAGCACAGAAAATTATCTCACCAAATATGCATCAAAGTTTTATGGAGAAACCTCAAGTTGAGGAATGAACCTCATATACTCATTTTTCAAAGTACTCCAGTAGACATCTTTCCAATATGCATAGCATTAAGTACTGCGTCGTAACGTAAACTGTGACTGCCTACATTGGGCCATGTGTAGAATGAATAACATGGATTCACCTCCCAATATTCTTTCCAATACAGAAACAGTATAGTCAGACCGATTAGTCATTTAACTCATCGAACATTGTGTTGCTGTACTTTTCACATCCCACAAACCATCAGTCTGCATTTCACATCTTTTCTCACTGTCTCCTTCCTATCATATTTCTAAGATCAATTAAATAATTTCCCAAAATTGTCTACACTTTTACAGCCATCGATGCAGCAGATAAGAACCTCGTGAATTTCTATACTGGTAGGTTATTTCATCCTAAAATAATAATAACCACAGTGCATGTGACAAAATCATTTGAGATCTGAAGAAAACGCTCACCTCATTACTCTTTATGCAAAAATCGTCGGTGCGTCGGTGGAATAGCGGTTAGGACGCTCACCGACCATGCACATGTTCCGGGGTTCGATCCCCGGCCATAGATGCACTCCTTTACCTCGCTAAGCCAGAAATAATGCTGGTGAACAGGAAAGGTTGAGCATGAGGCTAGCAACCTCATCCTGTAAAATAAACACCACTGCTACAGAAACATCAAGCCATTAGCTTGAAGCCCTATGTTCCATTGGGGAACGTCAAGGAAAAGAAACAATCATTAGCTTACAATCGCTTTGTGTGACAGATGTCACCGGAGATGTTGACAATTATATTTATTTGACAGCGCTAACAAGTGAAGTCGTTATTGTTAGGCTGTACGAATGCAATCTAATCCGCTGAGTGCAGCACTGTCAAACTTATCATCAATTCAATCATGAGTGCCATGGTATTCAGTAGTAAAACAGTTTTCTCTATCATCCACTTTCTCGACAATGTCCTCTTCAATATTATCTTGTTCAATTCAAACATGACACAATGAAACAGCATGCATCACTGATAACATTCCGAATATAATTTTCATCCATAAATATCTCAAGTTCATGTATACGACTTGAAAACTTCGATTAGGTACTTCTAGTTTATTTCATACTATATCGAGTTGTTGAATAAATCTGCGGTTATTCAGTTAGGTTGTGAAATAGCTACTGTCATCCGTTCTGTGCCTTGCTGGGTGAGACATGGAGCTGCTCACTCCCCACGATCCGTCAAGAGGTTCAGTTCAGAATAATACTACGGAAATACACTGGGTGGTAGTAGACGGCCTCGTCTTAACTTCAAGTGATTCAGTGAACTTTCTGATGTGAGGTATTTAGCATGTGGCATCCGTATATGCCTGTTGAATGAGATGTATCATGGTATGTGTCACTCAGAAGTGTTGGCAAAGCAAACGAATTACTTCACAGTCGACGCTGTCAAGAGTCTCTCTAAAGTTGGTGAGGATGAGATAGAGGGTTGACTGCCATCATGGTCTCTGTTTGATGATGACTGGCAGTTGTGCAATCCTATCCAAGCAGGATTTGTCCTCACTCAACCCGAACCGATTAGGTTGACAACATTCATTGTGGATATCTGTTGATAGTGATGTACCTTACTCTTTTATTTAGAAATGAACTTTCACAAGATAACGAAGATTTAATACTCTTCGAAATGTCATCTGTTCATCAATGAACTTAATTCACACTTTCATGCAGATTGTTGGCTATTTGGGGAACTAAATATACACCAAACAATACTTCCTTTCTTTGCAGATGAATACAAGAAGGCATTGGAAGAAGACAAGGCTTCTGAGTACAAACTTCATGGTATGATTGATTTTTCTTAACTGGAAGTTGTAATACACTAATTAATCTGAAATTCACTGGTCCGTTGAAATTAAGTGACCAGTTCTGTGAAGAATGTAGACAACATTTTGAATTGGTGTGTTTTGTGTGAAGTCACCTTTTCAATCTATGATCATGCTTGCTTTCCAACCATATCAATCACACTTTTCTGGCAAAATATTTTCGAGGGTAATTCTTTGAGGATAATTTGCACCATCGTTGAGACATTTCTCTCCGAAGTAGACCACCATCTCATTTGCTTCTTGTGTGGATTTGTTACTAAGATCCACTGTCATGACGAATAACATTCCAACAGTACTCACAGGATTTCCAGTTTCTTTATTCATTGATTGATAACGTTATCATTTCCACCGGTGATAATCCTTATAGTTTGTAGTATATGTGGTTATATTGCTTCCTACTCTTCCACGGAAAACTGATCACTTTCACAATGCGTTATCCACGACTGAGCTGGATTCATTGGTTGGTACTTGGCAATATGATGAAATTTATCGGGCGCTTAAGACTGAGTCATGCTAAGACATCCAGATAGATTGGCACTGTTATCATGTTGGAGGAACACTCCACAACTCAACTAGTCATGTAGTTTGCATCTTACAAACATTCTGAGTAACAATTACACTTAATGAATTCGTATTTATTCCCTCAGCTCATCCGAAATCATTCGATCGAGTGAAAACGCATATTTCAAGTAAATGGGAAAATCGAAAAAATCTCGATATTGCTGAAGGTAATCTTTTTATGATTGCATTATGTAGAAAAGCAGTCGGTTGTTTGATACTTCGTAAGAAAGTGGATATTCTTCTTCTGTAATTAGGCGAAGTACGTAAAGCCACAGAAAACTTCTCATTTTAACACAATATTTAACACAACACATCGGAACGCGGACGTTTCCTCTTGAACATCACACTGACGAGTATGAATTCTGACTAGGCGAGAAATAAAACACGACACTTCAATTACTAACAGTCCTAAACTGAATCCTGCATGAATTGTTGGTGCTGCAGGAGAAAACAGCACTGTGTAGGAGTGTTCTGCAGATTTCAATAGCTCTGCTCAGTGATTTATCTTCGTCATTGTGTGTACTTCTAGGCCTCTTGAATTTTGGCGATTTTCTCATCAGCATTGCTATTCACATTTGATATCTATAAGTTGATGCACTATCCAAATAACAGACAGCAGTTCAGACAGTAAGCGATAGTAGGCAAACATCATACATGTATTCACTTCGTCATATTCTGTCATTAGAATCAGTCGAAAACCGACTAATTGCCATCGACATGCAGGTGAGAGAATACGCACTCGATGGTCTAACAGCATATTCTAATAAAGATTTATACTTAGTGTGCAAGTTAACTGTGGCTGTGTCCTTTGAACTGATGTCAGTTGAATGCTTCTTTAAATAAATTTATTGTGATGATGTTGGATTCATTGTATACCTGACAGTGTGATGTATGAATTGCAGGTAAATTTTTCGCGGAGGCATCAGGAAATTTGAAGAAAGACAAAGGTTGGTTTTCTATCACTTTGAAATTTATCACCATAACTTGTGGGATGTGCCGAAATATTCTTCTTGACTTTGTGAATAGTAATTCCTCCCTGATGTCAATAATAAGCATAATCACAACTCTGCTGAACTATGGTGACGTGTATTCCCAATAAAGCGTATCTGAATATCCTTCGGATACAGCATCCATATGATGGATCCACTCAATTCTCGAGTTGTTTCAATATGTGGGAAGGCTGTTTCCACGCATCCAAACACTTCGGTTGTTGGCCGAATTCATTGGGCATCAGCTTTTCAGCACTAACACTAACATCACACACCCACAATACAATATAGAACTGTTGGTAGGTGGATTTCGATCGGAACTCTATTCACTGAGAAGTCATCTTGATGAGCGATACGTGATTCAAATTGCCACAATCAACAATGATGTTCACACTTTCTCACCAACAAGTACGAAGTGGATTAAGTGGTTTGATTATTATTGAGTGCGAAATGTGTGTATGTGTGTGTGTGTGCGTGTGTGCGCGCGCGCGACAACATCCATGCCTCACATACTGTGGTTTACCCAGAAATAATGGACAGAAACACATTCACGCAATGAATTATCAGTCCATAACATGCAATCACTCCTCACAATGTTACATGCCCTTATAAATAAAACATGTAACATGAGAAACAATTGACGCAACTAATCAATAATTCAATGATTTGAAAAATTATTCTCAACAGTTTACTGCATTCTGTGGAAACGGGGATTTTCTCTAAAATGGACAAAGCCGAGTAATACTGAAGTGAAGATTGAAGATGCACACAACTGCAGCATAAATGCAGTTTACACCTAGTGAGGGCATTTATCTTACTGATATCAGTAAACCACTCGAAATGTCTTGTGAACAGGATAACCATACATTATTACAGCCAGTAGCCATTGCACTTTGAATGATTATTTCACGTTGGGGAATATATCATGTAACATTCCATACTTTCCGATACTGTGAAATTATAGATCTAATTGAAATAACCCAGAAGAATTTGATGGAAGCGAAGGAAGTAGTGAAGACACTCAAAGGTAAAAGGATTCTCTTAATTTGTATTGCACACTCCAATCACGAACAACAAACTGTTGGTAGGCATTGTGATTATAGTTAGTCGTTCAGTGTCCCATTCACTAATCAGTAACACACATATTAACTAGCTTGTATTGGGTATCTTTCTCATCAACTGCACATTAATATCTCAGAAATATTAAGAAAGCCAGTTTTACCACCAGTGAATCGGCACTCTTTTCGTGAGGAGTGGAGCAAACTTTTGAAAATGAATACAGCTACTGTGTGGTGAGAAACAGCATGTTGACAAATAATCCAATTATTATGACACGCTTTTGGATCGTCAATATATTGTATTCAGTATGATGATGAACATGACATTGTAATTTCTTGATTGGCCATTTGAACATCATTCAACAATTTTTTTTTCTTCTTAGCTCAAATTAAACTGCTGGAAACGGCAGCAGTCAAAGCGTCTAATGCATACAGAAAAACTTCAGGTGAGTGAATATATTCATCGATTCGATTAGTGTACTTTGAGGTAGAATGAAACTATGGACAGGCCTAATAGGATTCACCATTGGATGAAGGTGGTGATGATTACATAGGAAATTAACCACCAACGCACAGACACCTGACGAACATAATTTTCAAAACAACTATTTAATAATCCTCACTCAACCGTACGAATGACGTGAATCCAAGATCGACTTGCGGTTTTGCTTTACATTGAAGAGTAGATAGAAGGGTGGATCAAGTGTGTAGACATTATAGTGAAGATGACATTGACTGCAGAAGTAGAATATTTTGCACTCTGGTGGAGCATAACTGGATGACGTTTCTGGAACAGTTTGTCTTTAATAATCGTGTCTTATAATTGTGTTATTATTCCTCAGCTTATTTGCGAAGAATTAATAGGGAGACAGACACAAGTGGTAAGCGAACAGTTCTATCTTGCCTAAAATATTTTGAAGTTAAAAATGTATTCATCACGAAGCTCCATGTGATTCATCTGTGATTGAAAATAATGACATTTCCATAACAAGAAACTTCCGGAGATCACGTTTATTAGACAATGAGATCATGGTAAATGCTTCATGGTGACTAGCTCGGAGTCACAAATAATGGAAATTTCGATCATCAACAAGCAAACATCGAATCAAGCATCAATAGATATAAGCAGAATGTTACATGGTATTTTGATAAGATGGTGACTCGTTTTTGAAGCTCTCATGTTTGAAGATCATATGGAGGTAAAGATGACAGACCAATCAGATGATAAGTAAAAGTAGGAATGTACTCACTGATGGAAGAAAGAGCTCGCGTACATTACTTACTCACATCTCATTCCACATTGAATGTCATTGTGTGAAGTATTTCCCTACAATATCATCAAGTACTTATGCGACTATGAGTGTGTGACAACAAGTCATTATTCCTTTCAGACTCACCGGACGATGTTGAAACTACGCAGGTGTATGAGAAGGCTCGTTCTGATTTGGACAACGCTACAAGTAATTTCACACGGCTATTTGCGTTGATCAAATGTAATATTTTATTGTTCCACTGATGAATTTCATTTTCGTAAGAAACAAAAGTAACCTACCTGTATTGTGAATGACGTATACATTATCATTTCGATGGATTCACTTATACCAAATCAGACTATATCATTGATAAAATTAGCAACACTGCTTGTCAAACTCAAATTAGAATCTACAAAGTGTTGGACAGTCGGAGACAATTAAGCCTGAAACATCCAAGCTCGAAAACCGTCAAATTTGCTGTTCATATAATGTAATTTACAAATTATCGAGACAAATCAAAGTAATGTGATAAACCCTCAGTGACTTCATCAAAGCACTGTGTGAATCAATAGAGGAAGAGATCGCCCTCTTAAGGAAGACACTGCTCGAGAATTGCTACCCAACCCGTTTTATAGACAAGCATATTAAGCCTAAGACTTACAAAGAACAACCCATTACAGTGCAGAAGAAGATGGTCTACGTGAATGTACCCTTCAAAGGTGACCTTCTGGCTGACACCTTGAAGAAGAGGATATCTACTGCTCTCAGAAGGACATTCTTCGTTGCCACACTACCACTGACATTTTCCTCACTACTCTAAAGATAAACTATCGCATTTGACCACTTCCATGTGTATCTACCAATTCACCTGCTCTTGCGGAGCGAGGTATATAGGTCGTTCGATGCGAGTTTTATCTAAAAGAGTCCGCCCGGCTACGGAAAGGTAACAACGGAGCAATAAGGAGCGCCATTATTGAGCATATACTCAACACTGGTCATTCGATTTGCAAGGAGAAAACGTTCAGAGTCATCTATACAGTCAAAAGAAGCCTTCCAAAATCCACAAGCTTCCGTATACTTTGTATTGCCGAAGCCTTAGCGATTTGGATAGAAAAACCTGATTTATGCACACAGAAGAAACTTCTCCACCCCTTCCCACTACCATGGGTTTAATTTCAAGTTTATCTGTCATCAACATTTTGTTATCAAATTTTGTTTTGCAATCTTCGTTTAATAATTTTTAGTAACTAACCCATTCAATCTTTTCACCTAGTTTATTTTCATTATTGTCTCCATACTCGTTCACTAACATCTAATCTTTCTAAACATGTCTATATTACGTAACCCTACTCACGTCTTACCAATATTCACCTCACTTAGTTACAACTTTGATTATTTATCACACATTTTAATATCTTTATTATTTTGATGACATAATCAACAACCCACACTAACTGTTATTTTGATTTTGACAAACCTAATGTACACACACACAAAATTATTTGTATATATATTTGCGACTGTACAGCTAAGTGAATAAATTCGCCGAAAAGAGACTCTTCACTGAACTAATTTGTTCTTATTTCAATTTCTTAATGGGTATATTTCGCGAATCAAAAATATTTTATCATACATCAAGAATAACTGTCACACTGATACTCCATGACATAATCGAGCACAATGAGATTTGATCTACATTTCATAGTGTTGCAGCACTAACATTGAAAATGCGACTGATGCATCACTGACAATGTATTCACTGTTTCAGAGGAACTAAAGGAGAAAATAAAACTATTGGAAATGAAGAGGATTGAATTTTCAAAGTGTAAGTTGAATTTATCGAAATGATTTAGAACTGGCTAGTTCAAACCCCACAGGATAGAATAAACTGGCTCTTGGCTGAAATGAAGGAAGATGCCATGCAGTATTATTGAGGTAAGTAAGTCAGTACATAGATTGCGAACGTATTTTAAATTTCTAACTAACTGAATCATTGAATATGAACTTGAAAATGGATATTGTCGTTAGCTGAAATCATCGAGATGAATCCTTGAGAAACAAGTAACGCTGAACATTTGTTCACTCTTACTTCTTGGTCACTCATCTGTCGACTGGTCACGTGATCACAGTCGGTAGTTGTACGCAGTCATTATCAGGGTTGTTACAACTGTTGAGAACATGGTAAATCCAAGTGGTGCTTCGCAAAACTGATTTCGTGTAAGGGGAAGCGTAGCTTTAACTCACTGTGATAATCAACTGCAGCTGCTGGATTCAACATAGAACTTGGCACCGAAGTGCAGCTGTTCGAGTTGCCACGTTCCAAATAGCCCACAAAGGTAGACAAGGAAAATAAGTGAAGAGAATCAATAGAGTTTCGATAAGTATAAGAGTGAAACAGAATGAGTAATGGTAGAAAGGAATATGAAAGATTACAGAGACTGAATGCATCTGCGTAAGCCATTGACAACGATTTTGAGTCATGTCGCCTATTGTCTCCAGCCATTGATTCTTAGAGTCCCGAGTGTGGGCCCCAACCCGGAAGTCTGCATCTCCCTACCTGACTCAGTTTAACTGTCAGGGATTGATGAGGCCATGTTTTTGTTTGGCCACCACTTACTCTTTTCCAACCTGCACCTATATCAGCTAGTAATGCCCGTCCGTCGGGGGATACGATGGTCAGGCATGCGCAGCACCATCTAACGCGAGAAAGAGATCGTAAACATCTGTGGTCAAAAACACAGATCAACACACCTTGATCTGTGTTTCAATCTTCCCTGGGAGAATCGTCATAAGATTAGTGTCACCGTTAGTTAGATGAGAACTGTCGACAGTGATTTCCGTCATACCAGATAGGTTTCTGTCTATTCCCAACTCAGTTCTACTCTGCTTCTGGTTTCATTTCGTTTCAGCTGCAGAAAAAAGGAGGTCGGTTCGAACAGAACTCAAACAATATTGGTGATGGGAATATATCGTTTGCTTATCTCTTTTTTGTTTTATTAATTAAATACAACATTTTTCTTCCTAAGATTTTGTTTCGATTGGCGTTTTCTGTCATTCGAGTAGAGTGAGCTGAGTGAGAATGAAGTAGCTAATTACGTTAAATAGGTTGACGGGTTATGCACAACTCGAGGATTATTGTTTCGACTGACGATGTGTATTGAGTAGCCGAGATAAAATGTCAATGAAGAGAAGTGTCCTTATCTTCCAGAGACTACAAAGCAAGTGTACAGAGACAGAAATCAAATCACCTCGACACTTTTAGTTTATTTGTTACACGCATTTTCATGAAACACAATAGCAAAGTCAACTTGTGAAGATCTAGGCATGCGGAGATTGATTACACGTGGGTTGGTTGTCTATAGGTTATTTTGTTAACCACAGTGCACAATATAATACATTGAATGGAAATTCTCAGTCACAGTATGCGTCATTCGAATGGCGCGGACTCGTCATTCACGTTATGGAGAAATATCATCGTCTGAGAATCACGGAATTAAAAGCTTCGATTTTTGAACCATGTAATCAGGTCAACATTATGTTTTGAGGGCTCTTTTTTCCGAAATATTAAAGGTCTTAGTTATTGGAATGACTATAACATCGAATTTTCAAATGTGCATCATGTCTCGCAGAATTGTCAAGGAGAACAGAGATTATTCTAGTTGTTTAATATACTTATATGTAGTGGATTGTAACAACAGAAGACAAGGGCCAGGCAACAGATCGCTTATTAAGGAAAATCAACACATATTTATAGATTTTTATGTACATTATTATAGATTATTGTAAGCAAACAAACACAGTCTTCTGATTGGTGGTTTCTCGCTAAACGTTAATCTTTCATCTCTTTGTGGCCGTTTCTTGAAACTCTGATTATCTATCTGCAAATTGTATCCGCCTACGAAAAGTCTGCTGTGATTGATTGTCGAGTCAGTCTTTGTTCTTATTTTTCTCATGACCAATATTGAGAACGTAAACACTGACGTAAATTACCATCGACCAATTTGGCTAACAGCCAGCTCTTACCAAAAAATGACGACTGTACTGACAACCTTGGAAATGACTTTCAATACCCACCGCATTGTCTGTTTTATCAGGGGTGAGACGCAAAGATGTGGACATCTGGAACAAGCGACATAGTGAATGAACTTCTAGATGATGTGGATATGTAGGCGTTGACAGGATTTTCAATCGTGAAGCACAACTCTCCTCCGTGTCAGTCAAAATCCCAATATAACAATTTGACACAATGATATTTCCTACATTTTCCATGTCACAGGGTATACTTCAGTGAATTGATGCGTGTGTCTGTCTGGTTGTTTGTCCGCCTGTCCGTCTACTCATGCGCATGTGTGTGAGTTGTACGACGATCAAGTTGTTGTTGTTGAATGAATGAGTGAGTGACTTGGTGAGTAGAGTGTTGAGCGAATGATGATTGCAGGTAGATGTGAATAAGGCAATATATGCATATGTTCGTAGTCAAGAGATTGTTGAATGCATGCTTTTCGTCCTCAAATCGTTCAGATGGTATTCTCTGAGGTATTGGTAGAGAGAGAGAGAGCAAAACTGAGAATGCTTTGAAGTGATCATGGAAATTTGCTTCCTCCTCGGTTATCCTAGTGACGATGAAACGGTGTGCTTGTTTTCGGCGTAGTTGTGTCTCTGATTGTGTCCGAATTCTATTCACGTAAGCCTTGACATGCCAATTGATATTTCTAGAACAGGATGAATATCAGTCAGTCAGTCAGTCAGTTAGCCCACCACTCAGGCAGTCAGTCAGTCAGTCAGTGCATAGAGTGAGAACTTGTGAGCAGGAAAGTGAATGACAAGATTGGTCGAGTGATGAATGTCAGTGCTGACTAAAGGAAGCACTGATTTCTGCCAGTTAAACCTTTATCGTGACTGACCATTCCATGATAGGCGAATTTTGTGTGTGATGAAATCAAACAGTGATACAGTAATAATAATAATAATATTAATATTAATGCATTGATTAATTACTGTGTGCTTTTACCCTCAAATTTATTTCTTCCTTGCATGATGGAATCACACTGTACTGCATTGTACTGCACTGTACTGTACTGTGCTGTACTCTGCTGTTTCGTTCAGTTCTGTCCCACAGTGTATGCAAATGCTGTATTCTCCTCATATGTGCGGTGACTGCCCAAAAATGAATGTGATTTGGGAGTTCAGTGGATTTTGATGCTTCACTATCACCTCATGTTGACAAGGTGGTGGTTGCAGTTGATCAGACGGGAAAGCTAAGCTAATGGGAGAATCGATGACTTCACAGTTGACGAATAGCCAAAGCATGATGGATGAAGTAAAAATGATGTGTGGCTGATGCCCTTCTCGCTCAATGAATGCCTACGTATCTCAGTCTCAGTGAAGATGCATGTTCGTCAACATTCTGATGGATGGGTGGTTTGGTGATTTTTAATTCAGATGAGATGACTCTCAGGTCATTGGTGCATTTTTACTGACTAATTTTGAGATTCGTTGAGCCCTGGTACACTCAGCTTTGCTGCCTTTGCAGCCTTTCCTGACTTCATTTTCTCTCACTTTCCTGGTGTTTACATATCGCTTATATTTCTAGTGCAATTTTAATTGCTTCAGACATTTCCTCTTCCATGTGCCTGTTCATGCACCTCCTTTCTGCGAGAGTATTTCCTGAAACTTATCTTTCGATGCTTGTGGACTATTATAATCCTCTCGATATTTGTAATGTTCTTCTATGTGACTGAAATGTGGGCTGAGTTAATTGTCTGTTTTCTGGTTTAAAACAGTAATGTGGTGATTCTCAACGTGTTAACCACATAACCTCCTTCTTATTCTTTGTGTATCATCAAATATTAAATATCTTCTGAATATTTAAATCAATCACTTTAAGCCGGATAGAAACACTAGGCGTCTTTTCGTACGACAGCCCAAGTCGGACTGCACTCCTTTTCTGGTTGTCAGGCAATGAAAAATAGTTGACTCATTCTTTTTGGAGGTTGGGGTAATGCCATATTGACATTCCTCCCGTCATGTCGCTTTTATAGATAACAGTGTGTCGATGGGTCACAGAGAGTATAATACTGTGTTTGACTTTGTTTATCAGTGAACTAATGTTATCCTACAGTTGATATAATTTCAATGCATGTCTTTACCCATATGCATCTTTTGTGGAAACTGATATCGTGTCCCCTTATTGACTGATTACTGTCGTCATCCGTTGGGTAACTTTTCTTATTATGTCTTCTCTCTCCTTTGAAATGTCTGTGATGATTGGATTGATTTTCTGCAGTGGGATCACCACTTTAAAGTCTCATCTTCCCTCTCTCCCACTCTCACTCTCTCTAGCTGGGCTTAGAACAGGCTAGCAAACTACGCGAATTTGTATCACTAATGTCATACAGGGCTTCTATACGATTCAGAGACTTGACATGTCAACACATGCATTCCCAACTGGCTGTGCCAGACTTGCACCAACCCCCTCCTTCAGTGGGTAAATAATGAAAATCAGATGGCAGTCATGAAAGCACAAGTAACAAGTGACTCTGTCAACAGGCATTCACGAATCCGTCGCCGAACAGATATGGGCAAGGAAACACAGATGAATGGTTCATAAGCTGAGGAGACCGTTGAGTGAATGGAAGAAAGCGAAGTCACTGGTTGGGCGTCGCACAGTGACACTGAAGATACCGTGTGAATAGTATCAAGTGAAACTGCATGTTAACAGTTGTGTAGTCAGCTGGGAGAGACTGAATGCGACAGGATAAAACGGAAACGTGTTCCGGAAGCCCTGTGATCCAGTTGAAGAAAAAAGGGGTAGTAGTAGTAATAATAATAATATAACCTTATTCAGTTTCCTCTCAGTAATTCTACACTGACTTTTAGCTCTTCAGTTATTTCCTGAGTGGTCGTCTCTTGAGTTTTCCCTTGCATAATTTTAAATTTAACACTGTATTATGTAAATTCTATACCTGTGCCTTACTATTTGAAGCTTACATATTGACACCACTTGACGTTTTGTGCAGATGAGATTGTGAAGACACTGTGTGCAATAATTGGATCCGAGTCTGCCAGCAGCTACTCTCCACTGACATATTATACATTTCAAGAGACAGCAGCTAATCTGACATAAACTGTGACACCACTGATGAAGGCAAAGAAACTAGAGAGACTATGCACGATCTTTAGAAGCTGAATTAGTCTAAGCAGTTTTGCAGCTGAATAAGTCGTCGTTGGGGAATGTTTATCCGGAGTATTTCACAGTCGATATACGTCCCACGGATATTGATCGACAAAGAAACCAATTTGCTTCGATGGAAACTAACAAATTACCTTGAATGCGTTGATGCATGCTGTTTGCGTAAGAACGCTCCACATAACAAAATTTCAACTCATTGTATGCGAATACTGTGAATGGACTGGAGGCACACAGTCTACTGATTCCTCCGCCATATGAGAAAATATGAAGAATTTCCACAAGCGATTTCCGTATAACTTCTTTTGCAAGACTATCAATAAAGTCAATCGTTCTCCCAACCAAAAGATCCCAAACTTCACACTTCACCTACAGATGCAAGCTGCAAAATGTAATTTTTAGGATTAGCTCCACACTCAACTCCATGAATGTCTGATTGTCGGCATTCTTACTGGAAAGCTAGAGAAAGAATTAGTTCAAATTCCTTCATGAACACTACGAATTACTAACGATGTATATATAATAGACGAAGATGTCAGCAGTGAATACTTGACTCCAAATACCTTCAAGGCATATATGAAATGCAGTTTAAAGTTGATGATACAGCTGCTCATCTTGAAAAAAAAAATAAAAAAACTTTTATCCGGCTTTGATAGATCCCCACACAACCAGCTAAATTACTAAATCTTGGATTCCTTCGCGGAATGTCCTCCTACGAAATACTTGTCAGTTTCGAAATGCTCATTGCTATAAATGTGTTCCGATTAAGCGAATACAGCCCTTAAGCAGAAGGTAGAATAGTTTGACCACGCAGTATTCAAATGATTTATTCGGTG